ACAAGGCTTCAGACTGATTGTCACCAAAAGTCATAGACTAATTTCAGGACTGATGGCTCTAATCCTGAAAGCCCCAAGTGCTGGACTATTTTAAAGTCAATTAGAGAGCTCAAACTATTCTGATTTTGACTGTCAACCCCCAGACAAGCACACTCCTTTCTAGCTGGGGGAATGAGGCTGATCTCTGGTCGGGCCTTGAGCCCACGGTAGACCGACATCATTGACTTCAAGAAAGAGAGGAGTTTTGGTTCTGTCCTTGTTAACGCATCCTTAACATCAAATTAAGAAACACAAAAAAAGGTAGTTACAGATAAAATGTGGGAGATTGTCCACATTGGAACAAGAATTATAACTTCTGATGACAACTTCTTTGAGATAATATATTCAAATAGGTTTTAGAAAGTGTTATAAACAAATCACAATAGGTTATCCACCAGTTCACTCCTTACCAGTATCCTCAATGCAATAGAGCAAGGGCAGTCCTTAAGAAGTGAAGAAGAGCTGGCCATAGCCTGGACATAGAGTCTCGTCCCACAGCACCACCAACAATAAATCTCGGGGCTAAATCCAAGAAACACGTGCCTTCTGATAAGGCTTGGTCAGGGCTTAGTGCAGACCCAACTGCAAAAATCGTATGAGCTCACTGAACAAGTAGTCCCTGAAGTACTGAGCTTCCAGGCCATTCCGGAAACAACCAGCTTTTAACAGCAGCAGACTGCAGACTGTCCTATAATTAATTGAGTAAATAAGGCCAGGCAAGTTAAGTAAATTTGCAAAAGGTCAAACAAGTAGGAAATGGAAGCTGTTCAGACTCCAATACAGCACTCTTCAGATTTGCTACACCCTGAAAAATTATCTTAGAACTGAAAAAAATAGAAAAGCTTACCTTCCTTTTCCAAACTAAAAGGCAAGGGGATAACACAGCAATAATGAGATGGCAATTCCAGGGGACGCGGCTGGGTGGAAAATCCAAATGAAAGGTTAGGTCCCAAACGGGAGGCCCGAGTCACAGTCCCAGCGAATTGGAGAGATGAGCACTGACCCACCCAAACTGGTCTTTGGTGGAGGCACACTCATCTCCATTTCCTGAAGTACGACCTGACCATGCTCCTCCCGCCACTCTCCAATTCCCGTGGCTCTCCATTAGCACTAGGACCAAGTATAAAGTCAGCCTGATAGGCATTTAAAGCTCTTCCTATCTTTCCCCTCCAAGCCCTGCAATCCAGCCACACTGGCTTATCGGCTGTTCCTCACAGAGGCCATTCCATCTCTCATCACCTTGCCTTTGCACGGGGCTCTTTCTTCCCCATGCTTGGGATGCTCTCCCTCCTGAACGCCAATGCCTAGAATCCCTGGCTGTCTTTAAGACTCGGCTCAAGCATCACTTCCTTTGGGAGGCCTTTCCTGATCTCCCCACCCAGTGCCATCCCCTTTAAGGAAACCTTCTATCTCCTCTGTATTGATCCGAATTTCTGATTTATATCCTTTCCCTTATTAGAATATAAGCTCCTTGAGGGTAGGAACTTTCTTCATTTTTTTATTTTTGTATCTCTAGTGCTTAGCACAGTGCCTGGAACTAAGCACTTAGGTAAGCATTTCACAGATGCTTGTTGACTGATATTCAAAGGAATCCTTTAAGACAAAGATGAAGAGTTAGCAAGAGCTAGTAAAAATCTATACACAATTTTTTAAAACACCATACTTCACACCTATCTAGATGAGCTAAAGACCTAAAAATTCCTTTGTAAAAAGAGCTCCCTAGACCCTCCTACCCTGTCTTGGATTTCATTTCTCTGAACAGTGCAGTGGCAAGAATTGGCTTCAGAGCCTGCCTCTCGGCTGGCCACATACTCCTTGTATAACGCTGGCCATGTCACTTCCCTCTCTGGGTCTCCATTTCCTCATCTGTAAAATGAGGGGCTTGGACTAGATGACCTTTGAGGCTCTTTCCAGCTCCAATACCCCCTTAATTACTAGCTTCTGGCTGTCTACAACCAACACCTCTCCTTCCTCACTTGCCACTCTCTCCTCCACCCCTCCTAACATGGCCTCCATCTAACACATCCCCACTCCCAAAAAGTCTGCCAATGGCCTTCTTCTCTTCCCTCTGTACATCTTCCTCCACTCCTCATTCACTACCACAGTGGAACCACCAGCACTACTCTAGGCAGAGGACTTCCAAATCTATTGTCATCAGTTTTGACTTCTCTTCTGAGCTCCAGATCTACCTAGAAGACACCTCTACCTACATAGGCCATGAGCTCCTCAAAACAGGCTTGTTATCTTTGCCTTTAAACCTGCTTCTCCCTCTGACTTGACTCTTACTGACTGTGGAACCACCTTCATGTGGTCAGCCATATTTAAAACCTTGGGGCCACCTCTGGCTCTTCTTTCGCCCTTACTTTTCCTATCCAATCAGCTCCCAAGTTCAGTCAACTCCATCCCTACAACATCTCTTGCATCTTCTCCCCGTCCCTAATTCCACGGCCACAATCCTCATTACCAACCAACCACCAGGACTCTTTCAATAGGCTAACAGGTCTTCCTTTCCATTTTCCCTCTCTGCTCTGACCCTGAGGCTGGAATAACTCTTTTCATGCAAGGATCTGGCCATACCACTCCTGTTTAAATATCCTTAGGGACTCATAACTGCTTACCAAAGACAATTCAAACCCCTGTACCTGGCATTCAAGGCCTTCTACAAACTGGCACCACCCTATCCCTCCAGCCTTATCTTATCACACGACCTTCTATGAACTCTATGCCCCATGGGCATTGGACAAACATTCCTCATCTCTGCCAAGCTCTCAGGCCTTTGTTGCATCATCACATTCTTCCCTATCTCTATGTGCTTGGTGAATTCCTGCCCCTCCTCTTTCTTTAAAGCCCAAATCCAATGCCATCTTCCCACGTATCTCCATTTGACCTGACATAGCACATTGTTTCCTTACTTTCTAAACACACTTAACCATAACACACTTATTGCATGAAATCCCAGTTTGTCTCATTCTCCCCGTAAACTCTAAAAAGGGGAAGAGCCTATCTTCCCTGAACTGTTTCTCTCTTTCAGTCACTGTTCGGGACAGTGCTCTGCAGGGAGCAGGTGTCTGATTAACGCCTTTGATCACTTTGTTGGTGCTTATTTGGGATTTTCCTTTTGTAAATCTTTGCTGCTGTCTTCCCCTTTTCTGTTGTTTTGTCTTTCTCTTGGTTTCTCCCTTTTGTTCTGGTTCTTCTCTCACAACAGGACTTATGTGGAAATATGTCTAATATGACTGTACACGCATAACCTATATCAGATTGCTCACCGTCTTGGGGAGGTGAGAGAGGGAGAAAAAAAGTTTGGAACTTGAAATCTTATAAAAGTAAATGTTGAAAACTTTCTTTACACGTAATTGGAAAAAATTATTTTAAAAAAGACTTTGTCATCTCTATGAATATACATTTGCTGAAAAATACAAATATGCCATGATAATATAAGCTTACATTTTTCATTAAATAAAACAATGTAAGGGTGTGTTCTGAGTGACTGCCTAAGACAGGAGAAAAAACAGCCCCAGAGATGTGGTGCTAACTCATTGCAATAAAGATACTTCATCTCCTTCACCTTGACCAGTATCTGCTTAAATTTACTTTGGTAAATAGATAACTTGGCACTCACAATTACAAAGTTAATTCATTCCATTTCAGATCATGAGAATAATGCAGACAAGCATTTTCAAAGCCCTTGATACAAGAGGGGTCTGGCACCTGCTGCTCAGTGCCCCAGGCAACGCTCGGGGAGAAGGGGTGTAGATTCCTCATGAGGGTTCCCTAGACTAATAAAATCATAGGTGCAGACCCAAAAATCAAACAAAACACAAAATTAGTGTGAGGTACACACTTCAGAATATTTCTTGGGTCCTTTCTAGAAATGAAAGCTACTTCCACCTCTGGATTCATTCATTCCACAAATGCCTACCACATCCAGAGCCAGAGCTAGGGGAGACCCAAATTTTAACTAAAGTACAGTTGCTACCCCCATGGAATTCACAGCCTGGTCAGGGAAAGGAAGGAGTAACCAAGAGCTTGGTACTCTGGTGGCTTGCGAATGCTATATCCCCAACAACAAGGCAGATTTGCTCTGAGATCCCTGTCCCTATCCTTCCCTACCTCTGACACCAAGGGTTTGTCCACCCCCGGTGCTGGTGGCCGGCTCAGGCATCCCAGGGAACACTCACCCACAGGCTGCTCACAAGCCTCATCCTCACCCATGGCCAGGCCATCTTTTTCCCTAATACATTTCCCCGATAATATCTCTGATGCCGGCTCTTCTTCAAAGTTTCCTATTCATGGTGACCCATGAAGCAGGTACATATGAAAACATGACATGGCAAGGTGCTGGGTAAAGTGATGACAGAGGTCAGGAGGGATCTTTGTTATAAGGTTTTGTCAAACAACCAGAATGCATTTTAAAGAAAGAAAATGTCATCTTCCAGTAGAAGGCTTTCAAAACAATACGATTTTTTAAAAAAATAAAACACACCTTACTCTGCCTATGTACTCGAGCTGTCTGTGATGTTCTGACTTGGCACCTTCCCTAATGAGAGGCCACAGGCTCCCCACCCCTGCTCTGTGCGGTCCACACTGATTCGCTGTCTTAGGCTGAAGTTCTTCAGGCAGAGGGAGCCTATGACTGGGAACTCAGTCATCTCTGTACAGCCTCCTTCACAAAGGCCTCTGGGTTTGAACAATGAAAGGGGGGGTAAAAGCACATGTCAAGAAAGGATTCTGGTTCAAAAATATGCCATGACTTCAAGAGAAACAGTCATGCATGTGTGGCTTACTGAGACCCATCTTGTCTCTTCATAGTGACAGCCTTCTTGGCCAAGTGGCAAGAGTGAACCAAGACTCTGCTTGGAATAGAACCAGAGAGCTGGTTCAGAACTAAGTGAGTGAGGCCAGGGCAGAGGATGTGGGGCACGGGCAGGAAAGGAAAGGGGAAGCCTATAATCACTTACGGCGGCTGAATTTTGGTGAACTCAGGGATCTCTTCCTTTTTCTTTCTGAAGAAGAACCAGTAGGTCATGAGCCCCACGATAAATGAAAAGAGAAACACATCTGTCACGCTGAAAAGGGAAACGTCCTCTGCTCCAGCCTGAGATGCAGTGGCACTGGGGTCCACGTCTGCCATGTTGATCTGTTTTACTGAGGAGAAAAACAAGACCTAAAGTCACAAAGAAGCAAAGCCCCAGGGCCTCGGCCCAAAGTCAGCTACAACACCGTGCCAACGAGGCCTAACCCTCAACCATAAATGGCTCCCGTGGGTTCCAGGACCCTCCTACCTCCCCCAGTCTGGGTACAGCCCAGGATGGTACCACAATGCTGTAAAGTGAGTTATTGGGAGTGTTTGCTTTCTGCAGCGCTCCACTGTGCCCAGCTCCGTGACGACAGCACCAGGGGTGGTTATGTACTGCAAATGAAGGACCCTTGCAAAAAAGAGCAAGGCTACCTGCCTCCCATCCCATCCCATCACACACCAGAACTGGTTCTTCTACCTTCTCAAACCTGGCAGGCAGGTGAGCCTGACATGAGTTAGCAAAACAAGAAAGGCAACATATGAAACCTCCGAGACCCCATTTATCTGGCTTATTAACAATGTACTTCTACCTACTCAGCCCAAAGTTGGTGTCACTTTACACTTTCCCTGAGTTACTGGTGCTAATCTTTATAACGAAATAGAGAAGGAAATTCCTCGTGCCAGGGGAAGTTCCTTATACAAATGAATGTGTATTACACAGACTCAGAGGAATCTGGAATCATAAACTGGGACACCAAAGGGACATCAGAGGTCATCAAATCCAACCTCATTATTTTACAGATGAGGAAACTGAAGGCCACAGAATTGAAGTGACTTGTGGCACAGCCAGAATTTGAACCTGGGGCCTCTGACTGTATCACATTGCATTTCTGGTAGAGTAGCCAATAGCCTTTTCATAAGACAGCCTCTTTAGGGAAGCCAGCCCCAAAGACTTTGGGTCTAACTTCTTAGCACTCTGATATCACTAGTATACCACAATGAGCTCCACCTATGGGCCCCAGCTCTCCTAAGTCCTCTTGCCTAGAGAGTTCAAAGTAGGCAAAGTCTATCAGACCTTGAACTTGCAACTCAGAGTTTTTTTAAGAAATAATTTTCCAAGCCTACAGTATTTTTCTTGTCTTTAGATCACAAAAGTCTGATTCTTTTCTCTCTCAATAATTAATACTAAAAGTGTGTTTCTAAGTACATTTTTGGAGTTGATTTACACTACTCTACTAAGAAAAAGGGAAGTGAGAACTCCTAAGATCTAAAAGAAAGGTACAGAAAGGATCTTCTCAAGAGCAGTGCAGGGAGGGGGGACTGGGAACCTTCAATTAGTTTCTCCTTCCACCAAATGATGTTAATTTGGACTGTTCATGGTAAAATCCGCTTACCAGTTACCCAGCGACATCAATCTGCATCAGTGACATCAGATGTCACATAGGGACAGTAAGTTATCTTACATGGCAACCCACAGATGGCAATTTAATAAATGTTTTTGACAAAGTGAAGGATTTTTGAACTACACGTCTCAAAGAAACTCAAGTTCTTTAGAGAGATAACTCACTCATTCATACTATACACAAAAAGAAAAAAGGAATGTTCCTCCTTTTTCAGGTAAAGAAATTTAAGGAATGAATATCTCAAGGCACCAGGTCCATTATAACCCAACACACCCCTGAAGTTTGTGCATCAGCTTTTTCTCCTGCAAAGTTAAAATGAAAATTCAGGAGGGATGGATCCGCAGGTACAAGAATATTCATAGCCATACTTTTTGTCGTAGCAAAGAACTGGAAACAGCCTAGATGGCCGTCAATCAGAGAATGACTGAACGAGTCGTGAAACTCAACTGTAACAGAATGTTGTGGCACCATTAGAAAGTCAACAAGTGTTCAGTAAGCACTTTATCTGTGCCAGGCACTGTGCTAAGGGCTGGGAACACAAAGAAAGAACACAAAAACCTCAACAATCTTGCCCTCAACTTCACAGTTCAATGGTGGAGACAAACGCAAACCACTCAGTACAAACAACATAGAGAGAGGAGGAATCAAAGCTAATCAACAGAAGGCAGGCACTAAGGGTAAGGAGGACTAGGAAAGGCTTCTTGGAGGTAGCAAAAAATCAGACTCTTTGTTTTGTTTTTTAGCTAGGCAATGGGGTTAAGTGACTTGCCCAGGGTCATATAGCTAGTAAGTGTTACGTGTCTGAGGCCGGATTTGAACTCAGGTCCTCCTGATTTCAGGGCCAGTGCTCCAGCCACTGCACCACCTAGCTGCCCCCAAATCAGACTCTTGTGATCTAAACCAGAAGAAAAGCACTTCGGGCTTAGAAAATCATTTCTACAAAAACTTCCAGTTTTCCTGCTCTGATAGACTTTCATACACTTCTAGAAAGGGGTACTTGAGCTAGAAGCTAGAACTGGAAGACAGTGGGAAGCCAGAAGCACTATTACAGAAGCCCAGAGAAGAGAGTAACAATAGCTGGCAGGGAGAGAATGACAGGCACAGGGAACAGCCAGCGCAAACGCGCAGAGCTGGGAGACGGAGCGTTTTGTCTGAGAACCAACAAAGAGGCTGGTGTCACTAGATCACAGAGTCAAGAGGCAAGTGAGGTGAAAGAAGGTCGGAAAGGGAGAACAGAGGAGGGGGTCCAGAGTCCTTTATTTTTGAGTCTGGAGGGGATAGGGATTCACTAGGGTTTAATGAATAGGGGAGTGACACACTGAGACTCAAACTTTAGGACAATCTCTTTAGTGGCTGAATGGAAGATGGCCTGGAGTGGGAAGAGACCTGAGGCAGGCTGACCCACCAGCAGCTATTACACTAGTCCACGCACGAGCTGATGGGGGCCTGCCCTAAAGCAGTGGCAGTGATGGGGAAGCATTCAAGAAATGTTACAAAGTAGAAATCGACAGGCCTTGGCAACAGAGGGGTGAGATGGTAAGGAGATGAGGAAGGCTCCTAAGTGGAAGCTTGGGGACTGGGATGATGGGGTTGTTCTCTATTGTATGAGGAAGGCAGGAACAGGGGAGTTTCTGGGGAAAGAAAATAAGTTTTGGACATGATGCATTTAAGACATCTATGGGACATCTGGTTAAAGCAGCTGAAGATGTGAGACTGGAGGTCAGGAGAGAGGGTAGGGATGGAGAAGTAGATATTGAGAATCATCAGCGAACGGATGAACATTGAATCCATGGGAGCCAAGATCACCCAAAGAAATTATCTAGAGAGAAGAGAAGAGGGCCCAGGAGAGTCCTGTGGGACACCCAAAGTTAGAGGTTGTGACCTGGAAGAAGATCCAGCAAAGAAGACTGAGGAAGAGTGGTCAGACGGTTGGAAGGAGACCCAAGAGAGTCATGTGACATAAGCCTAGAGCAGTGTTGTGAAGAGAGTGATTAACAGTGTCAAAGCCTGAAGAAGTCAAGAAGGACAGGGACTGAGAAGAGGTCAGAGATCTGCTGATTAGGAGATCCTTGGTAACTTGGAGAGAGTCGTTTCAGTTGAATGACAAGGCTAGAAACCAGAGAGTTAAGAAGAGAGGGACAGGGAAATGGAAGTATCAGTGGTAGAGGCTTCTCAAAGTTAGCCACAAAAAGATGGTGAGCTATAAAATGAGAGCTTGCAAGGATGGATGGGCCAAGGGAAGGTGTTTCAAGAATAGGGGAGACATATGCATATCTGCAGGCAATAGAGAAGTAGCCAGCAGATGGGAAGAAACGGAAGAAAACAAGAGAACGAGGATGACAGGACAATCTGCTAGACTGGAATGGGATCCCTTGTACACGTACAGATGTTTGCTGTGGCAAGGAAATGTGAGACAGGCTAAAGGAGGAGAGAGTGGCAGAAGGCATCTGGACAGTGCGGAAGTTAACTAGTTCACCAAGGGGTCAAGATGGAAGGAAGGAGGGCATAGCCAATGCAGCAGTGATGGCCTGGGAAAGAACTGAGGGACTGAGGGAGTGGAGGTCACCGTTTTAAACATTAAGAGTCAGAGCTATGAGGAAAAATTCTCATCCGCCCTTGTCAAGACTTTCTAGCCTCCATGGGATCTTGCTTCCCTGCAGAATGAACCAAATAGTCCTCAACTCGCACAACACTATTGTAGGTAGCAGCCCTGACAAGGACTTTCCACTTAACATAGATAGGAAAGCACCAATCTCTATTAGTGAAGAAATCATACTTTGTCAGGAAAAAAGTATCCAGGAATCTGAAGCTAGAAGGGACCTCACAGATTGCTTAGTCTAACACCTCCCCCCCCCCCCCACACACACACCCTTTGGTCCCTTTTCATTCACTGCAGGAGAATGACTGAGTCACTTATCTTGAGCTAATTTCTCTGTGCCAGAAAGGTGTGGGGGGGGGGGCCTCATCATCATCATTACGATTTGTAACCTAAATAATAAGATTCCTCTTCCCATAAGGCTCTAAGGTTCACCAAGAGCTTTCCTCACAGCAACCTAGGAAGCAGAGAATCCAAGCACTGTCCCTGGTCAGAAAGGAGCAAACAGAGGGGAAGGACCTTGCTCAGGGGTCCGGTAAGGAAGGGGCAGCACTGACATCAAAACTCACATAGGCACACAAACGCGCGCGTGCACATGCGTGTAGGCTCACACACAGGCGTGCACACATGGGCCTCCACACACAGATGCACACAGACCAGCACATACACACAGGCGTGCACACACAGATGCACATAGGCCCTCTCTCACACACGTACACATGTACGTACTGGTGTACAAGCTGGCACACAGGCACAAGAAACAAACGAGGCCAAGCTCCAACCCAAACAGGAATGAAGTCAACGGTACCCAACAGGACATCTTAGGTTCTTTTCAAGCCACTTTTCTGTTAATGTTGCTTCTATTAAGTCAATAAGAGAAAGAAAAACCTCTTGGGCTCCTCTTAAACACCTCTGTTCGCAAAGGACCCAACAGCACACAACTCGGCAAAATAAATCCACTTTCCCCAGCCTTAGCCTAGTTGAGGCAGCTCTCACAAGCTGCTTCCTAAAGAGCAGATCTGGAGGAAGGAGGTGGTTGCTCTGTTTTGCATATAATTTGCTCTAATTTTGCTTTAGTTTTGGAAAAGAGTGTCATCTAGCAGGGGGAACCCCCCTGGAAGTTCCAGGA